GACCGCGTTGGGCTGGGGCTTGAAGAGAGTGGTGAAGATGTGAAAAGCTCTGGGAGGGGGAGTTGAGCAGGAAAAAGGGTTTCAAGTACCACATTGAGATCAAAGACCACAGATTTGTGAGGCACCCAATGTCCCCAGATGTGTGACTTCCTCCAGCTGGGTTCCTGGCCAATATAGGAGCACGAGAGGAGGGAAATGACGTAAGTTGAGGGATTCGCAGGACGTGAGTGGTGTTGACAACATAGTCAAGAGGGAGGTTTGGGTAGAAGTGTAAGGAAATAAACCCTCGAAGGAGCTGGAGTGTGAGAAAGAAGTTAAATTAAGGAACTGGAGGATTAAGAATAGGGTGTTGGTACTTGGGCATAGGCGAATGAGTCGGGTTAGATGAGGTGGAGGTAATGGATGAGAGTTGCTGAATTTCATAAGCAGAGCAGTCTTAGATCACGGCAGGGTACAGGTGAGGCCCTACCGGTTGGTGGTGGGTGAAGAGTATCAGCAAAGCACACAGAGCATCAGATACTATGTGAAGAAGCAGGTTCTGGTAGGAGTAATGGTTCGACAGTCCAGGCAAGGCACACCAGGGGACCCAGGATTTGCATTCAGGAACCCCTTACTCAGGCCAGTGAGCAAGATAACTTGCCTCATCTGATTCTCATAACGAGGCCGTAACAAGAGTGCCGACCTCATGGGATTGTTGTGAAAATCAAATAAGATCATCTATTTTATGGGGTGCTGGGCACAAAGCCTGGCACATAAGAAGCATTTGATAAATAACAGCTGTAACCCTTTCCAGGTGGCTCATTTTCTTGGAATATCGTTCCATATACCAAAAAGTTACAGGTTCAGTTCATGGTCAGGACAGAAATCTGGGCTGTGGGTTCAATCTCAAGTCAGGGTGTGTACGGGAGGCAAACAGTCAATGTTTCTCTCTTGTATTGACATTTTTCTCTCTCAAAATAATAATAACAACAACAGCTACAGACAACTGCTATTACCAAGACCTAGGCTTCCACTGGGAACTCACAACATAGGAAAGATACTACTAACATAGAAATGTGTAAGAGGACACATAAGTATGACCTTCTTGGCGGAAACAGCATAGATTTTTGGAATCAAAAACATTTGCGTTTACAATCCAACCCTGTGGCTTACCAGCAGTGCAACTTGAGGCAGGTCATTTATTCTTAGGTTAATCATGATGCTGTATTGTTACTATCCTCATTCCCCAAAATGCATGAAGTGCCCGCCTACTAAGTACCAGGCATTGTACCAGGTGTTGGAGATAAAGAGACTTGAAAACGATACTCTCCTTGCACTCACAGTACCGTGGGGGAGGCAAGAGGAGACAATTCTAACTGGGAAAGCTAAGAGCTCTGTCAAAGCTATCCCTCAGGCAAGCAGGTGAACACTGGTTTATGCTGGAGAGGCCTTTGGCCTTGATGAAATGAGTGGCTCATTTCCTCCTTTCTAGAAAGAGAAAACACAAAACCTAGTACTCAGTTCCCACTTTTTAAAAATAATGGGGTTTTAGAAACTATTTGGGAAAGTTGAAGGGTGAAAAGTAGGTCTTTTTTGAATTCCCACGCGTTACATGTGGATACTTCCCACCAGGAAAGGCTGTGGAGCCGGAGGTCAGACCACGGCAGCAGCACAGGGACACTGCGGTAAGTTGCTTAGGTCCTCAGTTTCCCCTCTGTAATATCAGGGCAATAACAGTAACCACTTTGTAGAGTTAGAGTGAGGGTTGAGCGAGTCAATTCCTGTAAAGTTTAGGGCAGCGGCTGCCCCACAGTGAGCGTTTGATACACATGTATATTAGTTATCACGATTCTGTCAATGACAATCTTATGAAAAGAGGGCAAAATGTTTTCCTCAGCCTGTGCAGGAAGCATCAGAAACTGATGAAGGGTGAATCAAAGCAACAAAAAGTAAACTAGAAATCAGTTTTAGAATAAGTATATTTGCAAAATGTCAGGACAAAGAAAAAAAAAGGAAACAAGAAACTTCTTGTCAATACAGCTAAAATTCAATGCTATATAGACCTACAATATCCCGAATGTCTTGAATGTAGTATCTACAACACAGATATTGCATCGATATCTTAAGTATTTGCTTTACAAAAGAAAGATCCAAGGGAGTGACTTATTTACTAGTTCTTTTTCCTTCTTTCTCTAATATAGTTGAAAAGAGAGAAACCAAGACTTTCCCTGTCTCCCTGTGGAGCCTGAGTCACACCCCCAGACCGGTGGCTGGGCAGCTTTCTAGTCACCTGGTGTGAAAGCCCTGAGCTTGTGGGTGCAGGTTGTAACTGGCATCTCAGTTCTTTCTCAGATTCTCTCAGAATCTTGTCTCCCCACCTTTATTGCAGAAGTCAAAAGAGAAAGACTAATGTGAATAGAAGTCCAAAGGGAGAATAGCCCACAGGGGTTTTTCTCTTCAGTCCCTTCACAGTTTCTTCCAATCAGATGTTTCCAGGGCTATTTAAGTGGTTTTGGAACTTTAGAGAAAGTCCTCACCTCTTCCCTATTATATGCCCCCTCCTTCAACTCCTTAGGGGCTTTCTCCTCTCTGAAATTTGAGCTTAAGTTTAAACACAGTGTTCCCATAGAAACTGTGTAGCTTCTCTTTTTCTGCCTGCCTTGCTTCTGTTTAAAAGCTAGATTCAAGCTATCATCAGAAGAGAGAGAGGGAAGGAGAAAAAGGAGGAGAAAGAGGAGGAGGAGGAGGAGGAGGGAGAGGGTAGGGGAGTGGAAGGAGGCAGGGAAGGGGGAGGAGGGGGGAGGAAGAGAAGGAGAAAAGAAGAAGAAGAGAAGAGAGAAGAGTGGATGCCCAGGACTCACAACATCAATTGTTGCGTGCACTAGGTTTTTAAAGACTTTACTTGGTAAAATCAAATAGCAGCTCTTAGTTGGTTCTCCTTATTTTATTTGTTTACTTTACTGGGCCGTGGAAAATCACAAGACTTATGCGCTAACTCACTGCTTCTCTAGCTGAGCAGGCCCTCCTAAAACCTCAGAGGAAGTGTCTCTAAGAAAGAAATCCCCTTCTTTAAAAGAAGGCCTGCTAGCAGGAGTAGCGTTTTCTATTTTTAACCCCTCTTTTTGAAAAATTGAGGTAGAATTGATATATAACAATAGTTTCAGGTATACAACATAAAGATTCTATATTAATCTTTTTAAACTGTGGCAAAATATACATGACATAAATTTACCACTTTAATCATTTTTGGGTGTACAGTTCAGTGGCATTAAGTACGTTCACATTGTTGTGTGGCCATCACCATCATCAACTCCAGAGCTTTTCCATCTTGCCAAACTGAAACTCTGTGTCCTTTAAACACTAATTCTCTATTCCTCCACCCCCCACCCCAAGCTGGGGGCCACCATCATTCTGCTTTCTGTCTCTATGAATTTCACTCTTCTAGGTACCTCATACAAGTGGAATCATACAGCATTTATTTTTATGTGTCTGGCTTATTTAATTTAGCATAATGTCCTCAAAGTTTGTCCATGTTGCAGTATGTGTCAAAATTCCATTCCTTTAAGAAATGTTTTTAATGTTTTTGACAACTCTGCTTTTATTAAAGCTCTTTGGACAGAGGGATGGTTGGTAAATGGGCAAGTCTCACCAGCTTTCTGTATTTATTCATCTGGCTCTGAGTTCTGTACTATGATGTAAACACATCCAAGCAAACATCATAAACCCATGGTATCTAGACAGGTGAGTGGTGAAGCAGATTGAAGGGGAGCCATGGTGAACTGGAGAGACCTGTCTCATGTAACAGAGGCCACTGCTTCATAAGTTCAATACGTATTTCCAATATGTAATATAGCCCAGTATTGCATGTAAAAAAATCTACTGATTTTCATGCATTGGTCAATACTGTTGTTCCAAACAGAACACATTTGCAGGCCAGATCTTGTCACGGACTACCAGTTAACAGTTTCTGCTATGGCTTTTTTAAAAAACAAAATGCACCCTGGGCAGCGTGGGTCAGTTGGTTGAAGCGTTGTCCTGTAGACCAAAAAGTTGTGGGTTCCATTCCTGATCAAGGCACATGCCTAGGTTGTCAGTTCTACATGTGAGGTGCATGTAGGAAAAGCAACCGATCAATGTTCCTTTCCCACATTGATGTTCCTCTCCCTCTCTTCCCTTGTGTATAAATAAAGCATGTCCTTGGGTGAAGATTTAAAAATTTTTTTGAGCTGTTAAATATTTCCCGATATTCTTAAGATAGTCAGACATGTTTGATTTTAAAACAAAGAACAAAATTCAGTCGAGTATATTTGAACATCTAAGTGATTGGTGAATTGGGCAGCATCCCATCTAGCAACAAAAGGGAGCTCTTAGTTGTACAAATTGGAAGGATTTTATAGGCAGAAGGGGGAGACAAGGGAACTATTAGAAAATATTTGGGGGAGGGGCAGGGACTTCTCTTCGGGAAAAGAAGAAGGGTTTTTTATTATGTAGATTGCCTCTTCTTTCTATGGTAGCAGAAACCAAAGAGTAGACTGGAAGCGGGTCAGGGAGTGGAGTGATATAAACGATACTCTGCACTATAAAGACTTCCAGAGAAGGTAGCTTTTGATTTGCCTTGAAGGATGATTTCAGTAAACAAGACGTGGAGGGCACTCTAAAAGCAAAGGAAATAATTTGAGCCAGGGATCAAACACTAAGTTGGCGGGTAATGAGTCTGAAGAGATTGCATGGTCTCCAATTCCAATTATTTAATAATTTGTTTTAGGTGAGGAACCAGCTCATTGACAACTTATGCGAATAAGAATGATACAGAAGCAGAGGAGCATTTACAAGGTCTCCTGTGATATCAGCGCCCAGAGTTCTCCCAGTACATCCCCTCCACCGCCGCCGCCCAGACCACTATCACCTTCAGGGACTACAAGTCCCGTCATGCAGCGGGGGCGCGCCGGGAGTCCAGCGGGATGCCCCGCCCCTCAACAGGACCCGCCCCAGGCCCCGCCCCTCCTGCCGCAGCCCCCTACCGCCCGGTCAGCCCCGAGGAGTTGCCCGGTGGCCGCGGCAGACGGAAGCCGAGCGAGAGTCTCGGCAGAGGTGGCGGCAGGATGGGAGACTCCAAAGTGAAAGTGGCCGTCCGGATCCGTCCCATGAACCGAAGAGGTGAGAACCGAGCCCGCGCGGGGCCGCCGCAGCGAAGGCGGCAGGTGCCTGGTGCGCCCCTTCGCGGCGGCCGACGTGTGGGGTCCAGCCGCCCCGCCCCTAGAGTCCGCATCCGGGCTGGAGCGCGGCCCGCGCACCCCGAAATCTTGTCCCTCCACGCCCGCCCCGCCTGTGCGGGACGCCCCTCCCCTCGTCTGTATCGCGTCCCGGGGCGCTACGGGCCCCACGTCGCGGACCGCTGCCCCTTCCGCCGGCGCGCCCGACCCGCCCCGGAGCCCTTTCGCCCTCTCACCCTTTCGCCCTCTCACCCTCTCGCCCTCTCGCCGTCTCGGTCTCCCCTGCCCTTCAAGGAGGGCGCCCTAGTCCCTCTCCCGCCCGAGCTCTCTTCCTCCTTCCCCCACCATTCCCCTCGGCCCTTGCCTCGCAGAGTCCCCCGCTGTCTTCTCGCCAGCTGTCAGTGCGGCCCCCCGCCCCTTGGTCCTCAGCGGTCAGGCCTGGCCCGGACAGCCAGGGACCCCGAAGCCCCGCGTCACCGGCCCAGCCGCCCTAACCCTGCACTTTGGTGGCCCGCGGCAGGAAAAATGGCAGGGAATTTGGTTTGCTCCTCCTGAGAAAGCACTCAAGTGCAACAATTCCTGCTGTTGCTTTTTCACTTTATTTCCTTTAATCTGGACGATCATAAAGAGTTGTAAATACTTTGATTGAAGTTGGGTAAAAGATGCCTCCCTACCCCCACTTTTTTGACTGTTGAGAAAGTCTTGTTTTTGCTTTAAGTCATATTGGTCGTCTGTCAACAATAAATAGTTTGAAGTGCCAAGATTCTTGTGAAATTGTATCTTTCAGACATTCTCTTCATTCTGCAGGGAGGGTAGAGAAAGCAGATAAACCAAGTACATTTTAAATCCTGTTTAGGCAGTCAGGCATATTGGAGAGAACCCCAAATGGCAGTCGAAGGAGAAGGTGGGCTGTGTTTTGGCATCTTTATTTAAATTCACCTTAGGTTCATTACCGTCACAGTGATTAAGAAAACTTAAAAAAACCAAGCCACATAAAACACAGCTGATCTGGGATTTGATTCTGAAAGGATGATTAACTAGTATGGGTGAGTAACTTTAAATGAGACAATATATTTGAAAACCCTTTCTGTATAAGGTTGTATTATTGGGGGGTCACTGTTATAATCCCAGGAGATGACTTTTCAAAAGATTCTCTAATTAGAATCACTTTAAAGTACCAGAGTGGAGGTCTGTGTCAGCAATTTTCCACCAGTGTGCCTGAAGAATTTTTAAAGCATGCAATACCTGACTATTTAGTCAGGGGCACTGGCCTCTTTTCCTGTCAAATTAAAAAAATGACAACAGCCAAGACAACACTAGCCGTCAGATGTGAATGAATCACAATTATACCTATTTTTGGGGTCAAGTAGGCAAAAAAATATATTTTTTGGTGTGCTGCAGAATTCTATTAATTAGTCTATGTGTACCCTGAGATGCAGAAGGTTGAAAGTCTCAGTTTTAAGCTGTGCTGGCCACTTCTTTGTTCATAATATCAAATATTGCTTGGGTCTATGTAGAGATCATGAGTTGTTTTCAAGTTTTCTTTTTCTTTGCTGCCTTTTGTATATAGTGCGATATACAGATCAACCAGTTAAGATATACTTTGCTGGTTTGTCCTCTTGGGAGTTGGTTTATCCCTTATCTTGGAGTGACATCTTCTATTGGAGTTGGTGATTCCTTCTGTCCTTGCTAGGTCCCCTTAAGGATGTTAGGTGACAAAGAAGAATTTTTCCCTAAGAACTTAAACTAGTTTAGTCTTGGCCTCATTAGTTCCATGCTCTGACAAAATGAAAGAACTTAGAGGAACTCTTAAAGTTTTGAAAAACTTCTGTTCTGCAGTGCTCAGGAAAATTCACCTTATTACCGTCACAGTGATTAGGAACACTTAAAAAAAAAAGCCACATAAAACACAGCTGATCTGGAATTTGATTCTGAAAGGATTATTTTAGCGCATTCTTAAAATTTCTTTTTCTTAAAAAGAATCTTGGATATGTCAGTGCTAAAAAGAGGCAGTTAACAACCACCACAGAAGATCGATCTTAGACTCCTTCCTCTCCTCCCACCATGGGTTTTAGTTCTTGAGGGGAAGTACTATTCTTTTGACTTATAAATTGTCATTAATTAGGTTGTAATAGTTATCAGTGTCAGAGTTTCGAGGGATACATAGAATTTTAAGTTTAGCTATGGAATGGGTGTTAGCTTTTCCTTTGGCTGAACACATTTTAAACTTTATGCATAGATCCATTACTTGGCAAGTAGAAGTGCATTTGTGGTAAACTGCTTTGTTCATTTTGTGCCATCTCTTACATAGCCTTATATTTCCTGAAAGCACATGGGCTGTTTTTTCTATTTCTATTTTGTCATGAAGTAGTTGTTCACATAAATCTAGAGGTTGTTATGGGGTGCAGTGTAGTGAAATTCTAAAGCCGGTGATACGTAAGAGACGGGGAGAACTATTGATGTGACAGACACATCGATGGGCTGCCTATTGTATCCATCCCATCTGGACCTGCAACCCAGGCATGTGCCCTGGCTGGGATTTGAACCAGGGACCCTTCACTTCGCAGGATGACGCCTAACCAACTGAGTGACACAAGTTGGGGCTAGGCTTTGTTTAAAAAGGCTAAAACAAAACCATATTCCTTTTCACTAATTTTGAAAAGAGTCAGGTTGTTTTGACCAATTACTACTTTCGGGAAAATTAATGTATTAAGTAATAGTATATAATTATGACAAATAGTAAACTTTTAGTCATAATTGTTTCTCTCTTATTATATTATTGCAGGAATCAACCTTAGAAATACCTCTTCACAAATAAGAATGAGATGAGAACAGGTTACTGGGCTGATGTAGTTTTGCTGTATAGACTGCTATTTGGAATCACACATTAGCTACTGTTTGAAATTTGCAAGAAGCTTTTAGTGTACTGTTAAGTTCTTCACATGATTCAGTATCTGTGCTTAGGTGTTAAGGTAGTTGGTTTATTATTTCACATTTATCATGAAAGTAAGAGCATTTCAGTCATTTTTGCTAAATTAGAGTTTTAATGGCTAACATGCTTTTGTCTGGACTGTTTTTCTTGTTATACATTTTAACATACGAACAAAACAAAAATAAGAAGGAAAAAGTCTCTGACATCCTTCCATTTTGACAATTCATACTCTCATATTCTTATTTTCATTCTGCTTTGTGTTCACTTGCATATGTAATTTTACATAGTTTTAACTTTGCTTTTGTTCATCTGAAATAGGAACTTCAACTAAAGAAAAAGGGTAAACTTGTTTTGTCATGAGCTCTTGAAGTTCTGTTTACAAATATTGTTTGTCTTTTATGTTATCTTTCAGACTTGTACAATTCACCAGGTAACTCTGGTTGTGTTCTTCTATATACTGTAAAGAACACCCATTCATACATAATTAATTAATCTAATTATTAAATGAACTGCAAGTTTTACAAGCATAATTGATGGCACTAGTTAGATCAGTGATACTTGCCTGTTTAGGAATTTGTGAAGTTCCTGTTTAGGAACTTTAGGTGGTTTAAAAATATTTGATATTTATTGAGTGCCTGCCTGGTGTCTAGCTTATATTAGATATTATGGAATCTTATTACCTTTCCTCAAGGGGCTTCCCATGTTTAAATATGTGTAAGATCAACAACCAAAATAAATAAACCTATATATAAAGTATTTGGATAATACCTTTGCTGTCTACCTGGCCCAAAGTGGTGAAATCAGAAATTTCACTAGAAATTTAGAGAGAAAAACAGTGAAATGGGTTATTGCAGGTGTAAGTAAGCATGGGCAATATATATTTATTTCAATAGGCATTCTTCAAGGGTTTACTTTGCATTTTACAGTATTTGATGCAGTGAAAGACAAAAAGAAGAATGTTCTATCTAGTAGAAGTCACTGTGTAAGTAAATCACTGTCTAGTATCTCAGTGGAAAGATTATTACATAGCTATTAAAAATGATGAATGTTAAAACCATTTAACAAGGAAGACTCTTTTCTATGTTAGAAGTAAAAGCAGAATGTAATATGGTATGTGTAACTGTATTAAATTTACTATTATGGTAATATGTTATTTAATCTATTATTGAATCTACTATGATGACCATTATTATATAAAAATGTAAACAGGAATGGGCAAGGGCTAGAAAGAAACGTGAAAAAAATGAGATTGATTGTTCTTCTTGGGAGAACTTTATTTCCTAAAAACTTTCTATTAGTGTTGTCTAGTACTGTAGTTTTCAGTTTTTTTTTAAGTGTTCTTTATGGTTCATGCTCATGAGGAAATGACTATCATGTGAAAAGATAAGATTTAAAGGTAAACACCTATAGCAGATTGCTAGGTGATGAAGTACCAGGTGAGTGATAGGGAAATACAGGAATTTAGAGGAGTGAAAGATCCCTGGAAGGGGATGAGTAGGGACTGCTTCCCTGGGGAGGGAGAGAGCCTTTGGACTTAGAGGAGGGAGCTGAGGGTTGGAATGGGTGCAAGGTCAAAGGGAGGGAAAAGTACTGGTTGAGGAGGAAATATGGCCTGAGAGCAAAGCCACAGAAACAAGAATGAATGCGGCAAGTTTAGGCAGCAGAGACAAGCTTATCCTGTCAGAAAGGAAGGTTCTCTGAGGTTGACTAGAGAAGAATGACTGAGATTAGAAAGTCAGGGCAAAATTACGGGGAGCCCTGGTGCTAGCTGGGCCCAGAACTCTGGGTTTAGGGTGGCTGGTCCATGTGCTTCAGTTTAGCTTTTTAGAGCTTTGTGTGGGTCTCGGACACAAGCATGAAGGAGAAAGATTGCCGGGTCTCAGCGCAAGACTGCAAGCCTGGGTAGGTGACTGATTCAGGGTGTGCTGGGCAACGTTTAAGAGCGCGTGCTGAAAATGAAGCCATCCATATGAATGGGAAAAGGAAGGATGCCGGTCAAAAAAACCAAGTGA